ACATTTAAATTCCAACTTTAAATATCAAATGTGATTCCTTTTGTATGTGTGTTTGTCATGTGATCCATTTAAGGGAATTATCTCACCTTGACCAGCCAACCAAAGGAGGAACAGCACAGGCCATAGCCATAAACCAGGTAAAAGCACAACCTATTGCAGAGTGGGTGGCAGTAAATTTAAAACTACCCATTGGTTTACAGACTACTATGTATCTCTCAATGGCCAAGACCACCAGAGACCACAGTGACACTTGACCTGGTAAAGAAAAACAAAGATCAAGAGCATGAATTAAGATGGAAAAAAATGGTGTGTTTAAAGAAAAATGTTGCCAGCAAGAACGCAAAACATTGATCTAAATGTGCAAGACAGTAAATTTAAAAGTCACCTCCAACAGTAGCAAAAAAACCTTCCATGGCACAGCTACCAGGTCCCAAAGAGAAATAACCCACCAGGGAAGTATAAAAGGTGACTGTGAATCCAAATATGATCATGATCAGTCCAGCCACAGCCAAGTTCACCAGGATGTAGTTGAGAGGTTGCCTGAGCTTCTTATTCTGAGCTGTGACCACCAGTGTCAGAGCGTTAATGGGAAAGCCAGTGACGAACAGGAAAAACATATAGGCAGCCAATAGTTTAAATTGCCATGGATCTGCCAAATAATACTGTGGATATTCGAAAGGACTTCTAACAAGCCCCGTCCTGTTGTTCATCGGGATGTAGAAGTTCTTGCCTTCCGTGCCATTCTCCATCTTTGCAAGCTGAAACCTGTATTAGCAGAGTATTACTTATCGAGTACTGTCTATGCAGCTGTTTCTGCTCTCTAACTTCTTATGTGGAGCCATGGTTATATACCCCTCATGCACGATATAAGAAGATGAGGTAAGAGGATCTGGGAATTCAGCCCATAATCTCTTGGTATAATCACTTGTTAATTAGTGATCTCTTTTTATTTTCTTCTAGTTTTTAGGACATGATTTCTAACTAGAAGCTTTTAAGTTGTCATGGTGATTATGGTTAATTGCAGAAGGAGACATTCTTCTGGTTTCTCCTGTTCTCTTTTTCCCCTATGCAGTTTCCACCTGAAAACTTGGATGTATTGACTCTTATTTCTGAGTCTAGAAATCAGTCCAGGAAGGAGAGATGTAGTCATCCACATTTCTCTGCTGCTTCTCTGTTACCCACCGAAAACCACATTGAAACAGTGTCAACTTGCCTACAGCTCAAATTAAATAAACCAAAAATCAGCTCTAAAAATATAAACCATAAAAATCTTATTAAAATAAACACATATATTTTATCAGAACAAAATAATAAAATCATTACGTGTAGACTATTAAACATCAGATCCCTTTCCTCTAAATCCCTGTTAGTTACTGACCTGATAACTGAACGCTGATTTAAACATCAGATCTCTTTCCTCTAAATCCCTGTTAGTTACTGACCTGATATCTGATTATCATACAGATTTTTTTCTGTCTGATAGAAACCTGGCTAAAACAGAAAATTTTTGTTAGTATAAATTAATCCACTCCATCTAATTATTTAAATGTTCATGTTCCTATAACAACAAATCGAGGCGGGGGTGTGGCTGCTATTTTTCAGCCGGGACTATTAATTAATACTAAACCAGTTATTAGTTATAATACTTTTGGGTCGCTGTCTCTAAGTCTATCCCATCCTAAATGGAAAATGAATCGGCCACTCTCACCAGTTGTTATATATCATCCACCACAATAGCACAGAGGCACACGCTCTATTCAGCCTCTTCTTGACTGCCTGGCTGACATCCAGGACTGGATGGCTTTAAACGTCTTAAGCTTCAATGAGAAGAAGTATGAAGTCATGCTGTTCCATCCCAGTGGCTCACTCATGAACCATGACATTGACCTTTTCTCTCTAGCCCCGCTAGAGAAACAAAAGGTCACTAATCTGGGGGTGATAATGGACCCGTCCTTAAAACTCAACAGTCACGTAAACATGATGGTAAAATCCTGTTTTTTTTCAGCTGAGACGGCTGTCTAAGCTGAAGCCTATACTCTCCAAAAAAAACATTGAGACAGTGATCCACGCCTTCATAACATCTAGGCTTGATTACTGCAATTCAATTCTGTTTGGAATCAGTCAGTCCTCCATTGCTCGTCTACAACTGGTCCAAAATGCTGCAGCCCGATTTTTAACTGGTACAGGCTATAGAGAGCACATCACGCCAGTTTTGGCCTCCCTGCACTGGCTACCCATTCACCTTCGGATCCATTTCAAAATTCTCATGTATGTTTTTAAATCACTGAACAGTTCCGCCCCATCCTATCTCACTGATCTTCTGCAGCCATATGTCCCACCGCGCTCTCTGAGGTCAGCAGACCAGATGCTTCTCTCAGTCCCAGAAACCCGTCGTAAGCTCAGGGGTGACAGGGCTTTCTCTGTTGCAGGTCCACGACTGTGGAATGAGTTGCCACTGAGTGTCCGGCAGGCTCCCACACTCTCAGTCTTTAAGTCTCGCTTGAAGACCCACTTCTATTCGCTTGCCTTTAACACGGTGTGATTTGTTTTGGCCCGGTCTGTTCTCTACTCTGTTGGCCATTTTAGTTAGCTTCTGCTGCTATTTGTATATGTATTTCTATTTTATGTTTTCCTGTCTGCTGTGCATGTTTGTGTTCTTTTGTACAGCACTTTGGTTGGCCTTGTTGCTGTTTTAAGTGCTATATAAATAAATTGGTATGGTATGGTATGGTATGACTGATGTGCTGTTCGGAGCCAATTTCAAGGACATGCTCGAGAAATCGAAGAAGCAGGAGGAGGTGTCGGAGACTGTGCGCCAACTGATCAAGCCGCACCCCTACTCTCGCCCCCCTGCCCGCTGGAAAGAGTCCCGTGGCTGAGACAGCAGAGATGCACAACAGCTGCAGCAGCATCTTCTCATTCCACCGCCAGCCCCTCCCATCAGAGTACAGCCCTTCTCATCCAGACAAGCCGCAGGGCTGACGGGGAAGAAGATTAAAAAATGATTCATTGCGGAGGATGTGTGTGTGCATAATGATGGTTTGAGTTTTTGGAATAAAACATAAACATCATTCAGGAATTAAAGTGGCTGATTTCAGCCTGACTGTCGGTTTGTATGATCTCACAGCGGCTTTTCCTCACACATCCTCCACACAAAGCGAGCCAATGTCCTCCAAACAGGTTTTAATTACCGCAGCCCGAGAAAACAAACAAAATGTGCGCGTGAGTGACACAGCAGCCAAAGTGAATATTTTCAGCAGACCGAGTCCAGTGGGAAACCTTGCTCTCAGCCCAAGCTATGCACTACCTCCTCAGCGCACACCAGCTCACATCAGCACGGATGGGAGCCCGCAGCCTGAGCGTGGCACAGAAGCGCCGCGCCCCCACGGCAGCGACAGCCCTCATCTACATGGCTCCGCATGCTCAGGGGCACGTGCCTTCCCTCAGCGCACGCCAGCTCACACCAGCACGGATGTGAGCCCGCAGCCTGAGTGTGGCACACATGACGGTGGTGATTGGCGTCCGTAAATAACGTGACGCAGCATAAACTCGTGCCCGCTTCCTTAACGTTACATGGAGTGGCAACGAGCGTGCACTCTAGACAGATGGATGAACCGTCTTATCAGCAGGGGATACATGCTGCAGTTTACAGCTCAAACCCCCATTTGGAGGAACTTTAGAGATGTTTCTGTCACCTCCAGAACAGATCTCGTTCCTCCACACAGAAGTTCAGGAAATTCTGATAAAAAGTGTAATTTCCAGGGATTCAGAAGGAGAGGAAGACACAGGGTTCTACTCTCGTCACTTCCTGGTCCCAAAACGGACCGGAGGGATGACACCCATCTTAGATTTGTCAATTTTCAACTATGAGACAACATTCCATTCAAAATGCGTCGAGTCGGCTCTGTAGCCGCTACACAGAGCATGGAGGAGAATTCTGTTTTATCTGAACGATCTGTTACTGCTGACACGTTTTCCAGACAGGTGGCAGCAGTGCAACTCACGTGAAACCATCAGATTGATAACAGCTGTTTCCGTCATGAAGTTATTAAGGACATGTTGTCTGTTCACATGGTGCGACGCCTCCAGAGGTGGTTCGCTTGTTTGCGGGTGTAGTGAACTAGATTATGTCTCGCGCACGCGGGTCTGCAAAGAAACAAACAAATAAACGGGACAGCGTGACTGAATCTGGCAACCAGGGTGAGAAGAAGCAGTGAAACGATGTTTCTAGATGCTTAGTCACTACTCTTGTCGATGTTGAAACGTTGTTTAATTGGTTTTTGGTATTGTTTCTGAACACCCCAAGCAAGAATGAATTTTGTGTGTAGTTAAGTTAGAGACTAAGAGGTCTTTAACCATGCCAACATGCAGTTCATTTGTTAAAATGTAATCTTTGCGGAGTCAATATAGATTAATGCTACCTTAAGTACCATAATGTACATTGGTCTCACAACGCTTAAGCCGAACCTACTCGAACAATTCTATTCAGGGGGATAGCTAATTCTTTTTGATGAGTCTCGCCATAGACTTCCAAAAACATTTATGGGGAAACCAAACACCCAATCTCAAGTCGTTCGTCTAAAAGACAACAGACAATTGAACCAAACTATATTTTGCCATGTAAAGCTAACTTAAACCAAGTTAGGAATGGAAAAATAGTTTGGAACACTCTTCTGTAGGTATAAATCCCTATAGTTACCCTTTTCAGCATGTTCCACCCCTTAACTGGTAGCTGTAGCTGTTCCCAATCATAATAGCTTACACACCAGGTGCATATAGTTTAAGGCCTTATGTAAAATCCCCTTCATAAGCCCACCTTAAACCACATAATTGCATGTCACATTGAACCAGAACAGCACAGACTGGACGTCGCCCAGAGACGACCTTCGCTGGAGGAGACCTGCAATCCTGACGTTGGTCTCCACTCTGCATCCAGTGGCCGCATCTTCAGTTCAATCCAAGGGAACCCCTCTGTATGCTGATCAATCGACACTTCCAATCGTTGTGGATTAATCGTTGTGGATTTACCGTTGTGGATTATATGACTTTTTCCAATGGATTACAGACTCTGTTTCCAAGGGGTTAAAGCATTGCTACAATGGAATTACCAACAACATTATGGAATTACCATCAACACAATGGAATTACCAAGATCATTGTGGAATTACCTCCTTTGACTTTTGTTTTCCTTGGTGGATTACATCAAGCTCAAGGACATTCGAAGGCGTAAGTTCATGTTAGAATTCATCCCCATGGACAGGCGATGATTTCCAAAGGGGGGACTGTAGTGAACTAGGCCTGAGGTCAAGTCCTGACCTTAAGGACCTTATGGGACAGTGATATAGAAATTATTATTTTAATGCTTTTATGTCAATCTACACTTATCTAAACACATTTATACTCACTTTTGATGCAGCTTATCTGCTTATTCAGTCATTCCTGTGCTGCAGATGTGTTTTGGAGTAATTAAAGTTCTCTGGGGATGCTCTAGCCAGAAGATCGGGCCCAATCTTCAGGTTACAGTGACCCAGGTTTTGAAGGACATGTTTTTTATGAAACCATCGCTCTGTTGCACAGACTGCTTTGATGAAGGAAAAACAGATTTAATTAAATCTGTCCTCCTGGCAACCATCAAAACTTGCTTTGATCTGCTCTCACGCGATCCGGTCAGGGAAGAAGGTATATAAGAAATGTATCAAACAACTTAATCTTTGGAAGTCCTGTGATGGATCAGCCGCGCGCTGGTGCCATGCACCAATTTTGATGTGATTCTTCTTTACCTGGGTCGAAAACGGCTTCCCGGCCAGTGT